GAGCGTTCATACTGTTTTGAGGAGGCTAAAAACGTGATGAGAATTTGATAAAAGTGGGTTAAAGGTGAATTAAGGCAGAATGCAAGGGAAAAACAGAAAGATAAAAAAGCCAATTTTTTGACTAGTTGACCCTGTCATTTGAGTTTTTTAGTCTTTGATTTTTTTTGTGTGTTTTTGTAATTTTTAATTAATTAAGATAACTGAATTAATCATAAAAACAATTAATTTGAGTTCTAAATTCAAATATTAGATTTTGGGCTTCCACTGGGCTTTTGAATTCAATCTTAGAACTTTGGGCTTTTAAACCTATATGGCCTAATTTCAAATTGATCAAAACTAAATATAATTAGGCTTTGGTCTAAAAAAAGGATCAAAAAACAAATAATCCGAACCAAAATTCGAATGAGTCCAATTAAAAAACTTAAACTGGCTTAAATTGAAATATTTAAATTATGCATGGGAATCAAATAAGCTCAAATTAACCGGACAAAATTAGGTGTTTACAACATATCAAAAGGGTAGCTAATGTAGCTGCTCATAGGCTAGCTAAATTTACATTGCAAACTAGTAGTGATGAGATGTGGATAAGGGAATGCCCTGTAAACATCTTAGGAATTATTGGCACTGCTTCCTAATTATTTTAGTAATATATTTTCATTTAAAAAAAATAGAGATGAAGGAATAAAAAAAAAAGAAAAGAGAAGAAGAAAAGAAAAAAAAAAAGAATGGGGCTAGTTTGATGTTTAGTTGGGATCGACAAAAAAAGAAGGATAGGAAAAAAATAAAATGAAAAAGAAGAATGGAGGAAAGAAAAGAGAAAAAAAAAGAAATGAAGCTGCTGGTGTTTGAGGGAAAGAGAAAGGGAAAAAAAAGATTAAGAAGAATGAAAAAAGAAAGAAAAAAAAGAGAAGAGAAAAAAGAAAAAAAAAAAAAAGAGAAAAAAGTCAAAGGGTTTTTTATTTTAAAATCAAATTAAAAAAAAAAAAGCGACCTGACCTAACCTGCTAAGTCCATTTGCCACGACCCGTTTGCTATAGCCCAACCTACAATCTAGCCAAACTGATTTTACTAGTCCATTGATGTATTTGTTGCACTTTGGTGTATATAATTTTGTTTTTTTTTTATGAGCATAAATATACATGTCAAAATACAAGAACACATCTTTTGATGTGAAATATTTTTTATAAAAAATTAAAATTTCAAGGTTGAAATTGTATTTTTTTGTAAATAAAAATCACTATTATTAATATTTTGAAGAATATGGATGTGATGGTATTTTTAAGTGAAAATATGATTTTGGAATCCTTATCTAGATATTAGAGAAATTTCAAATTATAGTTTTTCTAAGGAACATTATTTTCATTTTGTTTACCAAAATTAATTATAAAATTTTCTTAAGTAAATGATTAATTTTATTAAATTCTACTTAAATATTGATTAAAGAGATTTTTCCAACACAAAATAATGATAAATAAAATTTCTTTTATAACTAAATATTTTTTAAATAAATAAAATATATAAAAAGAGATAAAGTTAAGCGGGATCAAATTGTTCATTTGTATTTTAATTGGAATTTGCATTATTCATTGGCTTCATGTTACATCACTTACATTTTTTTTTTAATTTCCTCAAATAGAAATTAACAAATGGTGATTTTGGAAAATTGTTGTAAATAAAAAAACTAATATTCTTAAATAAAAATAATTTTTGATACCCTCCATAGATATTTGAGGTCTTTTTCATAATTACTTTTTATAAAAGAATATTAAGCTAGATCTTAAGGATTATAATGAGAATCTAAGAAGAAATTTTTTTTTTTTTAAATTCTATGTAGATATTGGAGAATTTAGTGAAATTTTTTGAAACAAAAAAATTTCATTTTATTCCTAAATAAAAGTTTTTTTTTTTAAAGAGAATTTTGCAAATATAAAAAATTAAGAGGATTATTGTAAATATTAAAATTAAGACATTTTTATCAAAACAAAAAGATAATATATGATCAGTTTGTACTATTTTTAAAATGGGTACTGTGGTAGTGTTAATCATTTTTCATGTATAATTGAATTTTTAGACCCAAATTTATTTTAGTAGATCAAACAAAAAATTATTTTTTTAATAAGTTTTAATTAATTTTAAAATTTTATTGGAAAGACAAGTTTTTTAAGGTCAAACACATCTAACCAAAAAAAGATCAATGACGATTCTTTTTATTTTAAAAATTTTAAAATTTTTATCTGATCGTCCCTAAAATCATTATGATAATACTATTTGTTAAACAATACTATTGAATTGCAAGATCCATTTGACTCAAAATGTACTTTTGATTAAGGGTTAAAACGATTTGGATTGAATTTGATTCAATTTGATTTTTTCAGATATTACATAATATTATGAATTTTTAAAATTTAATTTGAATTTAAACTAATCTTTCATACAATTCGATATGAACCAACCAAATTTTATCGTTTTGATTTGATTTATTGGTTTTGAAATTAATTTTTTATATTATTTTAATATATTTTGATATAAAATAATTATTTTTATTTTATAAAAATTTAAAATATATAAAAACTAATAAAAATATATAATTTAATTTAAGTTTTTTCACTTTCTGATCCAAACTTAATATATATATTTAATATCTAAATTTAATTAGAATCAAATAAAAAATAGATTCAAATTGAATTAAATACTATAATTTTAAATTAAAATTTTGATTTTCTCAATTTTTTCTTAATCTTGCTTTTAACCCACAAGCAACACCAAACACTTCTTGCTTTGACCCTAAAATGCCTTTGCACGGCAATTTTGCAATACCCAAATGCATTTTTAGTATGAAACAATAAAAATGTCCATTCGTATTTATTTGAACGATAGAATTATTTTTTATTCAAATACTTTAAATTTAAAATAAAAATATATAGAGTAAAAATATAACTATTTAAAATCTAATTTGAGGGAATTTAATTTCTTAAAAATTATACTTCTGTGTACATTTTAAATTAAATTTTGACATAATTTATTTACTATACATCTTAATAATTTTTTAATCTTTTTAAGATTATATTCTTTTTAGATGTTTTAATTCTTCATAATATTTTTTACAATAATACCAAATATTAGAAATCTCCAATTGCATTTTTCCCAACAATTGGTCACGATATTTTTCAAACATACATATATTTTTTTCAAACCGCGACATCAATGTCAAATAATGGTATGGTTGTTGGCGGCGCGGCATGGCCGTTGGTCGTGTCAAATGTGCGTGAGAATGAGAATGGGTCCATCCAACTTGGACGCTGTCCCTATAATATCTGTAACGTCGTTTGGAACTTTCTCTAAACTTGCTTCCGTTAAGCCACATTGTCGTATCTGCTCAATGATTGGGTTACTCATTTAAATTTAAATTTTTTTTAAAATATATAATAAGATTGAACAAAAATATTAAATTTGTTAAACAAATTTAGGTAAAAAATAAGATCCAACTAAGAAACAAATTGAGCTTTAGTTTTAACATTTAAGTAACGAATTTAATTTGACTCGATTTAAAATTATTGTATAAATATTAAAATTATTAAATTATCAATGTTTTAAAATTTAATAAAAAAAAACAAAAGTATGATACTTTTTAGAAAAAAAATTATATAAACTACCCTAAGATGTACCATTTAATAATTTGGACGTATAGGCAATAATTAATATTCAAATTATCAAATTGTATTGAATTTAGATAAATATGTAAAATGCTGATATTATATCTAAATTTAATTTATATTTGGTCCAACTTATGTCACCCTTAATAGAAACTTCTTATGGTTAATTAAAGTTCTATTTCAAAAAGTATTTCATTAACTTTTAAGTTTATTTTGGGTTTTAAATCATATCATCCATTTTTGTTTTTTACAAATATTTTTTTTATAGTGGACATTATATATAGTAAGATATTTGTGTATTAAATGTCATAATTATCCCTAAACTTTTAGTTTAATAATTAAAGACGTTTGAAGGGACATCAAAAATTTAATTTCGAATAATTCTCTCATTTTTTTTAATTTGTATTAAAATTTTACTCATATGATGTAATAAAAAATATTATAATTGATAATTATTAATATTATAAATCTCAATACATTGAAAAAAAATTATCTAATGTACTAATTTAAAAAGTATCTTTTTACTTAACAAAACACTTACTTAAAAAATTTAAACTTATAAAATTAATTTTTAAAGCAATGTATTAATTGGGTTTTTTTTCTCTTTGTACAGTATCTTAATCAAGCTACCAGATATTCGTTAACATTTTTCAAGAAAAAAAAAAATCCTGGTATTAGCCGTTTTGTCCTAGCCATCCAATGAAAGTGTACGTGTCAACATAAAAAATATATGCTAGAAGCTATTGCCGGATCTCTCGCCACTTGTCAGACAGCACCACACCACCGCCGTCATTTAACGAAACCCTAACTGCTGTAGGCCCTATATATTATCCATTACCGTGTATACGTGTCTGCCAGCACATTCTCCTCTTTTCCCACTTACCCAAAATAACCTCCACTCCAACCCAATAATTAGGGGTGATAAGAATAAAAAAATTAAAAATAGATTAGAAATCATAATATTTATATTAAATTTAGATTTAAAAAAGTAAAAAATTGAAAAAATAAAATTATATATTTTTATTAATTTTTTATATTTTAAATTTTTATAAAATAAAATAATTATTTTATACTTAAATTTATTTAAATATATTAAAAATTATATTATTTTAATATATAAAGAATAAAATTTAAAATTTAAAAAACAATAAATCAAATTAAATTATAAAAAAATTAATTTAAATTAAAATATTAAATTTTATAATTTTATACATTATTCAAAAATTAAATTAAATCTCATCAACGGATTGATATCACCGCTACCAATAATTGCCGCAAATCAAGGATATTAAAGTAATCTCAGTACTTTATCGCGAGCGAGATGGTTCGAATAACGCGGGATCTCGCACGTGCTCGCCGTAAAAAAAAGCCGCTCTTTCCCTCTCTCCCTCTCTCTTCTTTTAACACTATTAATTTGATTTCCTAAAATAATTTACTAGGGTTTTCAGAATCTCCGGAATTTGCTCTTTCCGTCATTTCTGAGAGAGAAAAATTAAGATTGGATTTTCCGCCATTTTTTGGGATTGGGATTGGGAAAATCGGGGTTTCGCTTTGATTGGATGATGCAGTTGATGAGATCGGGAAATCTTAGGCCGGAGTCCGAAAGGACGGCGTGCGGGGATAAGCTGCCGGTGAAATTGGAGATCGTCGAGGACTCTTTAGAGGAAGAACATGGCCCTCTTAATAAACGATCCAAACCTTCTTCAAATGTTCAACAGGTAGTTTGTTTTTCAATTTTATTTCCCTTTGTTTTTGTAGTGAAATAAAACATTTACTTTTTTTGGAGAAAGATCTCAACTATTTTGTGAAAGAGAAGAGCTTTGTATGGTTTTAAATTTTAAAAATTTTGTTTCTGGGTTTCTTTAATTTTTCTTTTGAATTATTTTGATGATTTTTTTTATCAGTCGAACTCCGATGCCAATCCTTTCCCTATCCCGCCATCGCAATACAATCCGTTGGATGAGCCGAGCCCACTTGGTTTGAGGCTACGGAAGAGTCCTTCACTTTTGGATTTGATCCAAATGCGCCTCTCTCAATCCCAAAGCAGTGGCTCAGCTGTCCAAGCCGAAAACTTGAGCTCTGAAGTCAAAAAGGAGGCTAAAGCTGCTGCGTCTGCTGATAAGCTTAAAGCCTCAAATTTTCCAGCTTCCATTCTTCGAATCGGCCATTGGGAGGTGACGTTTTAATAAGTTTAATTTATTGTTTTAAAAAATGCAATTATTTTGGTGGTCAAGTAGCTGAAGAATTGTTTACTCGGTGATTTGCAGTATAAGTCGAGGTATGAAGGTGATTTAGTGGCCAAGTGTTATTTTGCAAAGCATAAGCTTGTTTGGGAGGTATTGGACGGTGGGCTTAAGAGTAAGATAGAAATACAGTGGTCAGATATTATGGCTCTGAAGGCAAATTGTCCTGATAATGGACCGGGGACTTTGAATGTTGTGGTAAACTTTCTTGTGTTTTGTAGGATCTTCGCTGTCTCTCTCTCTCTTATTTTCCTGCAATCTAAATATTTATGACTTTTGGTTGTTTCTTTGGTGATGCAGCTGGCTAGACAGCCCCTTTTCTTCCGAGAGACTAATCCGCAGCCTAGAAAACACACCTTGTGGCAGGCAACTTCAGATTTTACTGATGGTCAAGCTAGCATCAATAGGTAAAAGTATTATGGATGTAATTCTTATTTGTGGAAGTACATGTACAAGCTGAATTGTTTGCATATAGTTATGCAGCTAATATACTAATGGAAAATTTTTATTGTGGCTTTTTAGGCAACATTTTCTACAGTGTCCCCAAGAATCGTTAAACAAACATTTTGAAAAACTCATCCAGTGTGACATGCGTCTGAACTGTTTAAGCAGACAGCCAGAGATAATTTTGGATTCACCATACTTTGAATCACGGACTTCGGTGTTTGAGGATTGTGATGAACCGAAAGGGCATGATTTTGGCCAGGGTGAGACTGGTAAAAGGTCCACTAGTTCTGTCTTCCAGAATATAGCATCACCAGCTGCAGCTCAGTCTTCGTCCTTGGAGATTGAGAAAGGGGATTCTGCTGGTATAACCTCAGAAAATATGTCCAGGGAAGCTCTGTCCCCCAGTTCAGGTAAGCATTTAGGAGCTTGGGGTTTGTTTTTAATGGTCTGATGGATAAAGTTTTTTAAGTTATATGGTCGTTTTGCATTCTCTTTTATTTGCTCTTTTGAAGTCCAATGTCTATACAGCATAGTATGTGATTTCTTAGGAATTTGACTACAGTTGATATGAAGTATGCTTTTTAATTGTTGATAATAATATTAAACAGGATTGAAGGTTTTTTTAATGGTGGTGATGGTGCTGATAAAGCATCAGTGTAAAGAACACATGAACCTATTTTTTTATTTCTATGTCTGCTGTATTCTGCATACATTCTTTTTTATTTCTTCCGTGTCTGATGGATTCAGTATGTGTATTGATACTGTTTTCTTTTTCCTGGGCTTAGACTTATAGCGAGTAGAAAGATGTTTTCTTCATTGTGAAATAGTATTATATAACTTTTTGTAAGTATGGCATTCTTACTTTTTTTTCTTTCTGCTTCTCTAATTAGTTTCTAATTTTACATTAGTGATGGACTCTCATGCCATTGAAGGAAGTGGAGTTTGTGAAGCTGTGGATTCAAAGGGGCCAAGGAATTGGGACCAGATAAAAGTGCCTGGACTTCACCCATCTATGTCCATGAGTGATCTTATGAACCATATCGGACACCGTCTTTCGGAACAGATGACCTCTGAAAATCCATCCTCTGAACATAGACCGGACTGCCAGGAAAAGCTGGAGGAGATTGCACAGTACCTTCTCAGTGACACTCAATTTACAACAACTTCTGATGAGAAATCCCTCATGTCAAGGGTCAATTCTCTCTGCTGTCTTTTGCAAAAGGACACTACAACAGGCACAAACTCACAGGCAAATGGAGAAAATTACGATGGACCTGACAATGGAAAAGATGTTCAGCTAAGCAAAACTCATGAGTCTGAGTTTAATATTACAGCTAAGAGTTTAGAAGGGGATACAAAGGAAGTCTCTAGTAGCAAGCAGGCTCCAGGCATGTCAAGAAAAGACTCATTTGGCGAGTTGCTACTTCATCTTCCCCGAATTACATCTCTCCCCAAGTTCTTGTTTAACATTTCAGAAGATGATGGAGAGAGTCAAGCTAGATAAGATAGTTTTATTGTTTATCAACTGTTTAAAAATGATAAAATATCAAGTGACTTTCCCAATCTCCCATGTTAGCTGGCAATCTGATGGTTGTCTATCATATCAGGTGGGATGATTGGACGATGGGATTTATGAGGATTTGGAAAATGCTTTTGATGAAGAATTCTAGTAAAGCCCATGTAAAATTCTTAGGTGTTTTAGCAAAATTATTTGATGTAATATCTCAAGCAGATTGTTGGTTCTATTTTATTTTGAAAGTAAAATTGTAATTGATCTGTGCAAGTTCTCTGTTCTTATCATACACAGTGCAAATTTATCAAATTGCTTTTAGCGCTTGGTCGTAAGGTGGATATTTTTAACATGAAGGGATTTGGGCTAGTTTGGTGAGGTTGGTTGCCTTGGATGTTGTTGAATCCTGTTGATGGATGTTTCGAATTTCTAATTTTGGCGGCCAACCGTTTGAAGATTATATAAGCATATATGACAAATATTGAATTAAACAGTTTACTTTAATTCACGTAATTATTTTATTAAAAAAATTAATCATTTATTATGCATCAGTGATAATTAAATAATAAATATTTATTTTAATAAAATCATATATATAATGTGTAATAAAATGATTGTTATTTTTTAATAATATGATATTGTGAATGAAAATAGCATACATTGATGTAAAATAGCTGTTTCACACTAATTTTTTTTAATTGTGTTTAAAGATTCCGATCAATATGCAGAAACGGGGAAAAAAATTTCCCAACTGCTTAGACGAGTTATGTAATTAATTATAGTGTTAAGAATTGGTTTTCATAGAGCAGCTGGAAAACCTTGTAGCCACCCGACTGTACTCTGTTGGGGAAAATGGAAAAGCAAACAGAAAAGAAAAACATGGGTGAAGGATCAAGTTACTTCAACTACGAAGATTGAAGTGTCATGTCCTGCTACGACATAATTTAAGCATCCTATTTCTATGAATGCTTGCCAAGATTTTGAGCGAATGTCTTTAAACATTGTTAGCAATAGAAACTTGTTTTAGCGAGACAGCAGGTAACAATTCACATGTAGTCTTTTCAATGCATAAATAAATTCATGGTTCAGGATGTTCAAGCACTTCCATTTACCATTTGATTTGCACTCATTTCCATTTCTCCAAAATATTTGCATGGAACTACGAGGTGTGGAGGACCTGTGGACTGCTTTTTAGGATGTGACATGTTTGTGAATAGGCAATGACCACATTAAAGAAAAGCCAAGCTCCGGAAGCATCTTCTGATCATGACTGGGGTCCGGGGAGGGGAATAAATACGTTGAAAGCTATGCATGTGGGAACCTAATTATGTTGATGTACAGAGGAAAGTGAACAAGCAGATTCTCTTCAAATTTGTCACTGAAAGAAAACACCTAGTAACCTTTCCCTCCGCAATCTTCTTGATATTCTTATTCTGACAATGCAAGGGATAAAATATTGCCAACAGCCACGTGTGGATTGTCAGTAAAGTGTTGGATTCTTAACTTTAGTGATCTAAATTTAAATTTTGATAACTCAAGAATAAAAAAATATAAAAGTAAAAAAATGGGAATAAAGAAAAATGAAATTGGGATTTCAGTCAACCATATATCAATTTCATAATCTGCTGCTAAAGTAAGCTCAGTAATCCTTGCAAGGATATAAATGTGTACTTGAAGCTTGTGAAGTTAGATTTTCTATTCCAATTTGCATAAAATTCATGGTTGAGGAAGTTGAAATAGTTCCCATTTGTGATTTGATTTCCTTTCTCCTTTCCTACACTAGAATATCAGCAAAAGAATTAATCTAGGAGTACAAAAAATGAGAATTTCAAGAGAAAGAAACAATAAAGAGTCTCTAAGACAATACTGGCACATATCATGCAAGGAGGATCTCTAGACTTCTCAGATTTGGAGAATAGTAAGCACAGGCTATGAAAGACATGACCACATGAAAGAACAGCGTTCTCTGCAGGATTAAGACGCTCTATATCTGGATCATGTTCCGTTCAGTTGCAAGATCACCATTACATAACATACGGCTATTCTCAAGTGGCACAATGCGCTGATCATAACCTGCAAATTTGGAAGGAAATTGATATGATAAAGGTTGATTTTTCTCTTTTTTGTCTCTCCTTTTGCGGTCATTCTAAAAAAAAAATCTAAATTGGTGAATCTTACATTGAATAGCAGATTACAGAAAACATCAAGCTAATATATTTAACTCTACTGGCCTTTACTTTTCACACCTTTCAACATACTTGGCTGGAAGTTTCTTCCGTCTCCCTAATATTTTTGTTATGACCTATGTTCCTAGATATTTCCCATATAAGTTCTGTCACTTCAAGCAATATACCATATATCTCAGTTATCTGTTTTTAGCGCTATTTCTATAATGTGCTACTTGAACAGTGGTAAGCCAAATTATTCCAAGAAACTTACATTTCAGGATCTCTCCCTGGGATTTTCTGGCAATGTGTATGCAATTATACAGGTAACAAGAACAAGTAAATTATAAGACTAAACTGAAAGTGCAATGTTCTACGCAGATTACCATCCATATGCAAGTGTTGGATGAGTGTGAAAAGATATTAGTATCAGATAAGAATAGAAAAAACCGGAAAGAATCTGTGGACATACCTTCCCACAGTCTATGATCTTCGCAGATATGTTGCTCTTTTCTTGTTTTGGCTGGGATTGTTTCCTTTTCATGTGCAACCAGCTTAGAAGGCAGAGTTCTACCTGTTCCACTCCTACTCACCAGCCCAGCAGAGCCTTTGGAAGGTTCGGTTTTTTCCCTTTTCTGTGGAATTCTAGTAGTAGTTTCACTCTTCTTAAACCATGGTGCAGAGTCGTTAGGAGATTGGGTCGTTTTCTTTTTATGCATGCTATAGTTCCAATATTATTGACCAATCCTGCAGGATCTTTGGGAGGTTGGGCTGTTTCCTTTTTCTGCATAACATGCTTTGATGCCAGAGTTCTTCTAGTTCCAATATTCTACCTGTTCCACTCCTACTCACCAGCCCAGCAGAGCCTTTGGAAGGTTCGGTTTTCTCCCTTTTCTGTGGAATTCTAGTAGTAGTTTCACTCTTCTTAAACCATGGTGCAGAGTCGTTAGGAGATTGGGTCGTTTTCTTTTTATGTATGCTATAGTTCCAATATTATTGACCAATCCTGCAGGATCTTTGGGAGGTTGGGCTGTTTCCTTTTTCTGCATAACATGCTTTGATGCCAGAGTTCTTCTAGTTCCAATATTCTTCACCAACCCTGCGAGGTTGGGCTGTTTCCTTTTTGTGCATAACATGCTTCGATGCCAGAATTGTACTGGTTTCACCATTCTCGACCAAATCTGGAGGATTTTGGGGAGGTTGAATTGTTTCCTTTTTCTTCATAAAATGCATTGATGCCGGAATTCTACTAATTGCACTCTTTTTGGCAAATCCTGTGGGATCTTTGAGAGGTTGGGCTGTTTGCTTAGCTGTAAGCTGCTTTGATTCCGGAATTGTACTAGTTCCACTCCTCTTGAGCAAAACTTGTGGGATCCTTGGGAGGTCGTGTTATTTGTTCTTTCAGCTTAGACTGCCTACAAACTGGAATTACCTTGATTTCACTCTTTTTAACCAATGGTGCTGAATCTATGTTCATCATTATCTCATTAGATTTATATTTTTGAGTATGACCTGGTTTACAACAGGTGTAATATATTAGCTTTACTTTCAACTTGAAAACGCCAAATATGGTTTCTTTATGTATCTGACATGTCAAAAATCAATTCTGCCAACAGAATAATAAGGAAATAACCCATACGTTATACACAACAGGCATGAGAAGGATAAAATTAGACCTGCATCCTTTCTATTTTTGTTGTGTCAAATACATGTAAAACAAGATAAATTATTATGTCAAATTCACATATAATTCGTTATATATATATATATATATATGTACTAGTATTTGGCAGGTGCATAACGCATGTATAATTTTTATATCTAAAAATTTATTCAATAAATAATTTTTATAATAATAATAATAATAATAATAATAATAATAATAATAATAATAATAATTTTATTTAAATTTTTTTTTTGAAAACCTTTTATAAAAATTTTGGTAACTTATGATAAATTTTAGTACCATTGATATAATTTTGATAATTTTTTATAAAATTTTAGTAACCACTTTATTTAATTGTAGTAATCTTTGAATAACTTATGATATACTTTTAGTAATTATTAATAAAATTTTTGTTATCATATATTTAATGATGGATTCCAATAGGAAAAGGGGGTTCAATTTTAATATAAGACTATTTTTTTTAATATAATAACATTATTATTTCATTTAAATTTAGAATTTTTGTTCACTAAATTTTTTTATGGAATAGGCTTATGGTAAGTTTGTTCTAGTTTCCCAAAATTAAATTTCTAACTCTATTTTTGCAAGTAACTAAGATTCAATTCTTGACAACTTCAAATTTAAAGAAAAAAATTTATCAATGATTGACAATTAAGTTATCATTAATTTACTATTATGTTATCAATGATTTTAACTAATCTATCAATGATATACTGCTACATTATCAATGATTTATTACTAAATTAATGATTAATTTACTACTAATTTATGAATGACTTACTACTAAGTTATGACTGATTTACTACTAAATTATTAATAATTTACTACTAAGTTATTGATGATTTGTTATAAAGTTATAATTTATTTACTATTAATTAATCGATGATTTACTATAAAGTTATCAATAATGAACTAATTTGCTACTAAATTCTCGCTTATTTACAATTAAATTATTAGTGACTGACTATTTAATTATCAACAATTTACATCTAAATTATCAATTATTTACTATTATGTTATTATACATTTCTCTTATTACATTGAGTCATATTTAGAATCATATATTCTACACATTATTATCAATTAGTACAAATTAACATAATTTGTTATCAAGTTATCATTAATTAATATTAAATATTAGCCTATTTTACTATTAAGTTATAATTGCATTAACTATAATTTTGATGTATTAAGATATGAGTTTATTTATAATTTCAAACATTAACATGAAATAATGATTACTTTATTTGTTATGTTACCTTAAACAATTAATTACTATTAAATTAAAACTGATTTATATTAAGTATCTCGATTTATAATTATTTTAATTATTAACAAAATAAGTTTTCACTTATTTTTTGTTAACCTATTGTTAATTTATTAATACGTTGTTTTGTATTTACAACTATGAAACATGAAATTTAAAAGTCCACTAATAATATACGAGATAATTTTTTTTTTGTTTAATAATATTATTGTTTTATTCAAGTTCATAATTTTTTCACTAAATTTTTGTTGAATATGTTCATGGAAGGTTTATTCTAATTGTTAAAATGAAAGTTTTGACTTCATTTCTATTAGTACCTAGAGTTTAATTTTGGGTAACTTTAAATATAATAAAAGTTATTAATGATTGATAATTAAATTATTAGTTATTTACTACTAAAGTATCAACGATATACTACTAATTTATAAATGATTTGCCATTAAATTATGAATGATTTACCAATCATTATTGGTGATTTACTATTAAGTTGTTGATGATTTATTATAAAATTATAACTAATTTATTATTAATTTATCGATGATTTACAATAAAATTATCAATGATTAACTAATTATTACTAAATTATCTATGATTTACAACTAAATCATTAATAATTTACTATTATATCATTAGTGATTTACTACTAAGTTATCAATTTACTGTCAAATTATCAATGATTTACTATTACTTTTATATATTTATTATGTTATCTTTGATTTACTACTTAAATTTTAATTATTTATTACAAAATTATCACTAATTTACCACTAAATTATCTATTATCCACTATCAAGTTAGTACTGTTTTATATTAAATTATGCACAATTTACTATTAAATTATGCATAATTTACTATCAATGATTAACTATTATGTTATCGATGATTTACTATTAAGTTATATTAATTTACTTTTAAGTTTTTAATAAATAACTACTAAATTATCAATTATTTACTACTAATTTATAATTGATTTATTATTAAATTATTTAATATCTACTACTATCAATTAATTATTATGAAACTGAAACTAATTTACTATTAAGTTATCATTGATTTATTTCTAAATTAGCATAAACTATAATATCTCCTTCAAATGAAATATTTGAATTATTTCCCTTAACTCATATAACAGAAATTTGATCAACAAATAAATAATTATAAACTCATTGATCTAGAATAATATTTTTGCAATACGAATTTCAAATTCTAAAAAAAAAAGATTTGTTCTTTAATTTTTGCAAGGTTTGGACATAAGGATTTTCTTTTAGAATTATTATTAGTATTTCTATCATTTTTGCACTTAAATTTATATTGTGTTGTATTCTCATTCTATTTTGAAATTTATTATTGGTGCCATAAAAGTAGAGTTATAATAACATAGATTAATAAACTCAAACTTAAAACAATTCGAAATTCAAATTAAGTATAAATAAAATTTTTATTGATTTTAATTTTAATTTAATTAAAAACAATATAATACACGTAATTATAAAAATAAACTAACTTAATTCGATTTCAATTTATTTTAAATGTCAATAATTTAATAGTTATTTAAAATCTGAAATGATTGAATGTAACTAAAATCTAAATCAAAATCTAATTTTTTTATTTATCTTTTGTTACAATTTAAAAGTTCTTTATTTGAACTTTTTTTTTTTTCATCTTCAATGTGTTATTTTTATTGTTTTTGTAGTCGAATTAGTTAATTAATTTTTAAAGATTTTTTAAAATAAATTTTTTATTATAAGTAATTGAATATACATTTTTTTTATTTGGATTTAATACAAATTTACTATCCATGATTATTTAACATTTTACAAGATAGGATATTTATACTTTCACAATTTTTTATTTTTTTTTTGCAGCTTATAATGTTTTGTGGCTATAATATTTTTGTGTCAATGATATTATGGTATGAACCATTGCAAACCTTGAACCAACTTCAAATAGTTAAGTTAGATTTTGTGGTTGTTTTAAACTAGAAATATTGATTTTCAAATACTTGGCTCGAGGCTTTGAGGTAAGTATTTTTGTGTTATCAGACCTTTATGTGTTTTGCATATTGATTGTTACTTATAATTTTTGAAATTGCTATAAAAAGGTTATAGTCTTTTGTTTTTGTTTTTAGATGAATATATCTTTATTGCCATTATCTTTCATGAATTAGCATTGATAATTTTTGAACTGGCATCAATGTGCGGATATCATATTAGTATTATATATAAATACAATATATTATTAATAAATGATTGATTCAATCAGTTAAAATTTATCTTCTTCAATGAAGATATCTTAAGTTTGACTCTTATCGATAGTCACATATTGGATCATCTCGAATGTATAATTTACAATTATTTATTTTAAGTTATCAGATATGACATATCTTATCTATATGATACTTTAATTTATTATTTTATATTTTTTAATTAAATAAATTTTATAATAAAATATATCGATAAATAAAAATGTAAAAATATTTTGAATTTTATAGATTTCAACCTGATAAGAGGTGATTTATTTTAAATAGGAATTGAATCGGGACAAATTGAGTTTTTTAAGAAAATATAAAGCGAGGTTGATGGCAAGTTAATGGTCTTACCCACCTTGGAGATTATATAAAGTATATAATTTTAATATCCAGAACATAAATTTTACACTTTTTGGCCTCCAAGTGTCACCCCTTTGACTCACTTTTTTTTCTCTCTCCATATTTAATAAATAATTTTTTTTTATATTTATAGTGGGATTCAGTTGATATTATTCATTAAAATATTTTTCTTTATCACAAAAAGGGATCAATGTAAGTGTTCACATTGGATTCTATTTTGATTATTTTCCTTTTTTTTTGCTTGGGATCTTACACATCCATTCATACATCCTTTATATCAAAGGTTGCAAGATTTTAAGAATAATCGAATATTCACGTGATACCTTAATTAGCCTTTTCTTTTTTTTTTGGGTACTTTATACTTTGTAGTTTGTATTTTTTGCTTTTTTTATTTTTTTTAAATTAGATCATTTTTGTAAGAAAATAATATCAGTGAAGGTGCTCACATAATACTCTTATTTGTTTTTATTATATTTTTTATTTTGTTAAAATTTATTTTAATTAAATAATTCTAAAATCAAATTAGTTAATTGATATAAATGACCAAACAATTAATATCCGATGAATTTTAATTCGTCTTGGTTCGAAACAAGTGTTTTTATAAAAAAATTGATCTCGAGTCTAATTGAATTTTTTTTAAGAAAGTGAGATGGGCTTGATATAATTTATAGTGCTCTACCTAAATCACTCCATGTTTTATATAAAAGAATATATTTTATTATTTATTTAATTATGTATATTAAATTAATAAATTATTATTTGATGTCTTAATATAAAATATTTATATTTTAAGCTCAATTTAGATGTTCACATGACATTCCAATTATATATTTATTTATTTATTTATTTTATAATTTTTATTAATAAAATTACTATTTAATACCTTAATTTAAGAGATTAAAATGTTAAGATAAATTGGGATGTTTAGTTGTACCCAAATGAGAACTCTCTCTCTTTTTCCCTTTTTCTTTTGTTTTTATACTTTTTTTAAATTAATTTTGTTAAAAAAAAAAAAAAAACTAATGGACCACCTCCTTTGGACCTTTTTATCTTTTTTTTTTTAATTAAATAAATTTTACAATAAAAGTTATCAATTAATAAAGATGTCAAAACACATTTGTATATGATGAATTTTTATCTATCTCGATTTGATAAAAGATAAAATTTTTTTTATATTTATATTATATAGATTTATATATGAACATTATGAATATTGGAATTTACAATTATTTTTAGTTAATTTCTATATGTTTTTTACTTCATTAAATTTAAAATAAATATACTAAAATTTTCTTTTCATTCATTAAATTTATATAATAAATATTGTTGTGTACGAATAAGAAATTAATCCTGTCGCAAAGTTCGACCAATTCCTAGTATATTATTATTACAGTATTCAATACATATAAACCACAAAGTGATTTCTGATAATACAAGAACAAGATACCAATAATACAGCAAACTCCCAATAATGGTGGAAAACCAAAACAAAAAAACGAACAAGAAAGAAGAAAGAAAAATTCTTACACCAGTAAAATGGAAATATGCGATGAGACAAATGGCTAAAAGCCTCTATATATTCCCTTGGTGAAACAAGATTAATGTTTGAAGGAACTAGAGCACACCAAAGCAAAGGCACATAGTCCGAACTCTTTGTATCGGGAGCACAGACTGAACAGTTTTCAAGGGCTAGTTTTTGCAGGTGGTGGTGAGAAGAATGGGATGAATGGAATAGAAGTTGGTATGGTGGGGAATGAGGGCAGGTTTGGAAGAGGTGGGAGGGTGACTTTTGGGGCAGTAGGGATGGTAGGCAACGTTGGCATGCTAGGAAGCGGAGGCAGAGTTCCAGAATTGGGTAATGATGGTTGGGTGGTCGGCAATGTTGGCATTGTTGGTTGTGGGAGATTGGGAATAGATGGCAGTGGTGGCAGAGTTACTATAGGAAAAGTTGGGATTGGTGGTAAAGGTGGCAACTGGAGGAGATGACGAGCTGCAGCAAGGCCAACATTGATGCTTGAAAATGACAAAGCCATGAAGAATGCTAAAACAAAACAATTGAAAGAGGCCATTTCTAGAAATTTGAAACTAAGCAGAGTGTTCTCTTAGAAAAGGAAGGTTGTTCTGTCTTTAATGGTTTGAGTGAAGAAAACAATGCATGCTATCCGATTTATATAGCCTGCAAGCAGGGGGCGTGGCCTCTCAGGTTGTTGATTACTGATCATATATGGTTGTAAAAGAAAGCATAGAGTCATTTTGATTGTTTTGTTAGTTCATCTTCCAATTAATGTTGGATTGTGGTTGACCAGAAACTACTTGAGATCCTGAAGTCAGCCACTTGTATCGAGTCGTCAACATCTCAAATAATATCCAAAAGGTTCAAGGCACCCAAGTTTTCCTTAATTGGTGGGTTATCTAACTTGAGTTCAGGGTTGTTGGCCTTAATATACACGTCCATGTTGGATCTGCCATTGGCATTGGGCAGCCAGCAAACAAGGCTAGTTCTTTTTCTTTTCTTCATCTGGGGGTGGGGACTTATGGTTTATCAAAACCGATGAAGAACAAAGTCTCCACCATACCATTTAGCAAAATTTAATTCTCAAAAGATTGGAAAAAAGGTTCTGAATTTTATTTTTTATAAACTTATTAGTGCAAAAAATATTATAATCGTATTTAAGTATTATTACATATAAGAAACCAATTAATCAAATACACAAAATAATCAACGAACGAACGAGTATATAGCTGAAAAAAATTACACATTTTTAAATAAACCTTGAATAAAATAGCAAGGCTTTGTTAAAGATATAGGACTAAAGATGTAAATGATACATAAATATTTATAAATTATTCGGGTTCGACTCAAATAAAATTCAAATTCGATTCAACTATTATTGATTCGAGCTCGAACTAAAATAATTCGACTTATCGATCGAACCAAATTCGAACATTCTTAAATTCAACTTAAGTAATTCGTAGGTCTAATCGAATTTTTATACTTTAATATATTTTAATTATTTTAATTAATAAAATATCTCAAACTTGAATTCAAATTTGAGTATAAATAATCAAGTTTTTGTTAAATATAAAAATCAAACTTATTTTTACATATTAATTGAACCTGATCAAGCGAATTTGAGTAGTTCGATTTTTACCTCAAATTGAACTCGACCTAAAAGAATAAATTTCAATCAAGTTCGAACCAAGTTTCGAGCTTTAAATTGAAATCAAATTCGAACTCAAACTCAAATTTAATACTGTATCGATTTGAACTCGATTGATTACATCCCTACACAAGACCAATGCTTAGAAAATATTTACAGTTTTTTTTTCTTTTCAGTTTACATATTTAAAAAGAGTTGCTTTATGTACAAAGGAGATTAAACTAGGATGTACAAAAGGAAAATCTAGTTCAACTGCCACCATGGTGGCTTAGCTTCTTAATATTTTATAACATATGTACACTTTGGTTTCTTCCATCACGTCATATCTGCTTTTGGGGGCAGGGATCAGGAAGGAGGTGGCGAATGAATGGCGGGATCATGCAACATGGCTATTGTCACTATGAAGTATTCACATCCAATAGGGAGACCATAGGGGTTCAAACTTGATCCAGAATTCAAGGTTAACTGCTCTGTCCCTTTGTCAGAAGTCAGTTGATAAATAGGATCCGCCCTACCATGTTCAGGTCTAGTTGATGAATCTAGCAATGGCTTCACAGTTTTGTGCTCAATATGCACAATCTGCCCAACGATATAGCAAGGTTGGCTAGGGAGATGATCGGTAAACAAGGCAACAGATTCAGCAGACAAATAGTAGTTAAAGCAGTTTCGAGTGATTGCCTCATAATGCCCAGCTGAATTAAGTACAAATGCAGCAATCTCATGGACTTGCAGGCGGCTGAAAGAAATCTTTTCCTTGTTTGCCTGAAGCAAGAACATCAAAACACTTGGTTAAAATGTAAAAAGATGCTATATTTCCTCTCTGTATATGAACATGAAAAGAGAAGCCATGGATAATAATATTTTAAAATAATCAGAAAGAACGAAGAATGAATGACAAGCAAACTATTTATTCTATAATAAACCTAGCTAAATGTGGTTAATGGCTCTACAAGAACAAAAGCTGGTAGAAGCTTCTTTTCATGGTTCAAGCATATATACATGCATGGTATAAACAAGTCTCATCCACCCAATCTTATGAAGTTGAGAACATTGAGAAAAGGCTACCTGCATCTCCAGTTGATGCTTAGTATACAGAGTTTTAACTAGATCGTTTTTCTCTTCCAATTCCTTTCTAAGCTGTTCATTTACTGCTTCAAAACTAGAGTTCTTCTCATGCAGCTCTTCAAGATGCCCGGACAAGAAACCAACTTTTTCGGCAAGGACCCGGATACATTTGTGGAACTCAGCAATGCCATCATCTTCACCATCACTAACGGAGCTGAAAATTTCATAGCGCAGATAGTTGGACCATTGTCATTAAATTGTCAATCAAGTGAAAATTCAACAGGAGAAAAAAAAAGAACATCAGAAAAGATATAATCATTTCTGCATACCACCCTTTAAACTTCTAAGTAGATAGCTAGCAGAACTTTCTTTTATTAACCAAAAAATGAAAAAGAACAATGAGGGTTGAAAGGGAGAAAAGAAAACCCATTTCCAACCACATCCTTATAAACTCTACTTTCTAAAATGCTAAATAGAACCTAAAGTTTTTTTAGTAAATACATATTCTTTGTCCATAGACTCCAACTATAAAATTTGATTAAGCTTTCTCTTTAGTCTTTTCTTTAATTTATGAAGTTGAGAACAAAACTATGTTTCTAGTTTTCTTCCAGTCCTGAGCCCTTCTTTTTTTTGCCCCTAAAAATGGCCTACCAGTGGAAAAGAAATAATGGATTGGGTGAAGGAAACAGAATGGAATATTACTACTGTGCAAGCATCACAAAGTAACTTACGTGGCTGAGGACTGAGCCAAAGCACGCAAAGAATCAGCAAAACTGGCCATCCCACCAGGAGCGTAGACACAATTTTGAAGTATTTCAAAAAGACCACGCATCTTCACAGCTGAGGCACGCTGTGCACTATATTCTGAGGCTCTTCGATCAGCAGCACAACAATGAATTTGGGCTTCCTCTCTTGCTTCATGCAAACAATTCTCCAAGTGAGCACAATTCATCTGTAACCCAGGGAGGGAAACTTAGAATATAGCACATGATGGCGATCAAATAGCTAAATTTACAATATAAAGGCAAATAACATATGTTAGACTTTCCTTCCACATTCCCTCAAATCAAATTTGACTGGCAGTGCAATTAGATGTAATCTGGACACTATATGGTACATGCATACACTTAATTCTCTAGAAATATCTAGCTTTAAGTGGATTCTGCCCCAGAAAAACAAAATTTCCCTGTACCCTAGAATCTTTAAATCAAGTCAAAGGAATAGGCAACACATTATATTCCATTATACCTGTGCTGTAATTTAGTACTAATACTGAAACAACTAACACTCTCAGCCATGTTTGCAGATAGAACAGCATAGTAATTACTAACAATTTTCAGATTGACTCTAGCATACCAGAAAAACTATTAGAAAACATGATTCCTAATAATAACATTAAATAATTTCAAAACCTCTCTATAATATATGGGGAGCCCTTGACTTCACCACTAACCTCCTCCTAAATTTATAAGTTGGTCTGTCTCCAAATTTTCACATTTTCTCTCACTTTGGAGAAGTTATTTACACCTTAAATGATGTTTTGTTTTAGTATGCTCCAATGTCTCTCTCTTTACCCATATTGTCAGTGCCACTAGGCTAGTATTAATAAAAGAAGGAACAATTTACCCATACATCTAGCCTGGAGAGCATGCATAGTTAAAGGACACTGAGCTAAGAGCAAATGAAGCAAAAGGTACTGAAGTAAAGAATATGCAGCATAATGCATTACATTTCCACATCCATGTTATAGTCCAGCAACAGACAATTATAACCTTATAATGCATACAGGAAATACTGTAGTTCACAAGAATCCTAGTAATATTCATGTGTTACTTAACATGAATGCATACAAAAAGACATGCTAAATGAAGAACAGTTGAAGTGCAAATCACTTAAAATCTATCATAAATCTCTGGAAAACCAAAATGTGAATAGGGATTAATCTGCTACTACCTGAGATTCATCAAGAAGTTTACGACTCGTTTCCATCTCCCTCCTAAGCATGGAAACCTCATCCAAAGCATCTCTAAGCTTGGTTTTAGTTTCAATTAATTGGTTCAACTTCTCTGTAATTGCACTTTGTAATTCCAACATAAGATCCTCCCTAACTTTAGAATCTAAAACCAGCTCAGCTGCTGTCTCACAAGGTAAAGGTAAAGCATTCAGAGGCTCAGGCATGCTCTCAGCGGTAGAACTGTTACTGAGTGACAAGCCAGACTGTCCCACCATCTTATCTTTCCCATCTTTCTCACCAACTTGCAGTTCTTCTCGATGCGGTTCTTGCATTGATGAATCAAACTGCAGGTTGAGCATTCCAGAGGAATCCATCATATTCTGATCAACCTCTTCTTGACCTTTGCTTAATTGCCGTGTAAAAAGGCCCAGATTTGCATCCAAAGAATTTGAAAGGCAAGAAACCTCATCCATGGGCTCGGATGTAGATATGCGAGGCACATTCACCTCATAACCTGAGAGTTCTGGCTTGCAGTCATCAGCCTTTGAAGCCAGGAGACCAAAGTCAGCGATATCATTAGTTTTAAGCTTCTGCCCCTGCGAATGCTGATCAGACAATCTCTGCTCCAGTTCCTGAATGCGCTTCTCATATGAAACACACTGAATTTGTTTTTCCTTGAGCATGGATTGGAGGTGTTTTCCAAACTCATCTTTTAGATGCAAGTCTTCAGCAGTCTTTTCTGCAGTATTTTTCAATAAAGTATTGACTTTACTATCATCAAGTGTTCCATATTCAAATTTAGGACCTAAAGAACAAATCAGGGCTACTGCAGAAGCAAGTTCAGCTTTCAGTTTTGCATTCTCAACTTCCATCTTGCTAGTTCCAGCAATCTCTACCAATTCACATCCCTCAAGGAAGTCATCAGAATCATCTTTTTCAAGAGTATCTACACCAATCTCTTTAGTATCGGCCAAATGAGAACTCTCATTAGACATGGAAATCGAACCTCTTAAGGTAGCAGGCTTCTCAACCTTAGTAGGCAGTCCTACTAAACACTCAGGAGCATAATAGTCCAGGTCAGGAATATCAATATCAAGCAATGTAGTGTCAAAAGGAGCTATATTGACATCAAACTGGTTAGGGGTGTCATATAACCCCATGGAAGCCAATACATCCTTGGGTATGTACAAACCATGTTCTTTTAGAAACTTCTCTCGTCTCCTGACCTCAACTTCTCTCTTTGTTGCTAGCCTTTCAGCCAGCTGACCAGCCATGCCCATATAAAGAATCATAGATGCCTTTCTTCTTACTATTTCAGCAAGACAGGCTCTGTATGCAGGACCAATTCCACGGACCAATTTAAGGTCTATAAATAGATCCTCCAGACGCATCATTGCCTCTTCGAAAACAGGAAACTGCAACTTAACATTCTTGATGTGGCTGGTAATATACGTTGTCTTTTGCATGTAACTGTGAAAAAAGATGTTCATTTCATTTTTCTTATCCTTGCAAGACTCAAGCAGCTTTGATATTGCACGTTCACAAGCCAGCATCTTGGGCAGATGACTCTTGTTATGCACATCATACATAGGACCCAGGGCTGAAACTGCATCATGAGGACGAAGGGAGGAAGATAATTGGCAGGACAGACAATCATCTACAAGCTTCTTTACTGTATTGACATCTTTGCTGCAGGAATAGACACGCAAAGTCATGAATTTTAGACATTGATGAAATTTTGCAAAGACAGTTATTGAAGAAGATCATCACAACATAAGCACAAAGGAAAAAGTGTAAACTATAAAGCAGATGACAAAAACTGTGCACTAAACAAAACTTAGCCTTATGATTAGAAGAACCTAAGATCCGTTTGGATCTCAGAAAGTAACGTAGAAAGGAAAGAAGGGTTATCAAATTGCCTAAGAAATAAATTTCAATTTCTAAACTCAAAATATTCGTAAGAGGTGAAGTGTAAACAGCTAGGATTAGAAGAAATACTTTTCACATATACATGCTTCAACACTTTCAAATGTTATTAAAGGTCCAGAATCCTTTTATGACCAGATTAGACTAGAATGACATTTAAACTCCCAGTCTTGTGTTTAAAAAGTTCTTCAGTTGGTACTATTTTGAATGATATACATAAGTTATGATATACTAGAATCAATGGCTCTACAAGAAAAGCAGTCTCCAACAGGTCAAAGCCATATGACCGTGAGGAAACCCATCAATCAAATCGCCAACCCTCATAAGATTGGTGGAAAGGCTATTATTATCCTCATATACAAGTTCTGACAATCCTTACCAATCAGTCAGGTGATTAACTTTGAATTTGTCAGTGCCCTTGGATATTGATTAGTTCCTTAGTAAACAAGAAGTAAACATGTCTAGCTCCTCAAATTTCCATTTTTAATTCCCAATTAAAGGGCCTTAGAACCTAACATGAATTCAGACAAGAAACACACCAGCTGAGTTCTTTTCCAATCTGGAAAACTAATACCCTGCTTTCCGTTCCAGGTGCCATGTAAATCAGAAATTTGTTCTAGTTTGCGTGTCTAAAATTCATTACATCATTTTTCATAAATCATGCAGACAAAGGTCAAAAGAATGACAAAGACAATAATTTGTCCATACAGCAGGGGAACACTCGAATCTAAAATTGAACCACTGTGAGGACAAGATCTAATACAAAGAAGAAAACATCAAAAGTTCAAGATTGAAATGACAAAACTAGCATAAATAATCAACAATCTGGATCAGAATTTTATACCATAATGCAAGGGGGATGGGATGTAAATATCAAAATTCCCTTCAAATACTAGGAGGAAAAAAAAAGCATAAACCAAAAGAGCAAACCTTAAAGACTGCATAATGCTCTTCTGTTCATTGAGGTACCTCTGATGCTCCTTAATGGTTAGTTCTAAATTCTTAATAGGCAAGGAAGCTCTCGAAGTGAACAACTCCTCTACCTTGCGCTTCACTTCACCAAACATCTCATTGAAATGTGCAACTTTGTTGTCAAACTTCCTGCGGAAGCTGTAATAATTTTCCGCAGACTTCCTTAAATTATCTTCCTTCACAAAATCCAGTAAGTATTTTCTATTAACAGTCTGCAATGTAGGGTGAAGCTTGATGGATCTCAACTTCTGCATATCCTTATCAAAGTTTGCCAATAAATCAGTATGATAACGATGTTTCTGTTTATACTGCTTCATAAATTCTGAACAATTTTGGTTAATCATCCCATAATATCGATTTAAACTACTACTTGCAACTCCCAATGCCCTCTCCTGAACTTTCTGCCCCCTCAACAGCCTTTCACAATAGTCAAACTTTGCTAGTGTTCGATTATATATAGCACGTCCACGGTGATAGTGGTACCTAAATTGCCTCTCATAAGAAGGTAAAGCCTTCAAAGCAGGGTCAGGAGAATCATCCAAAGGATGAGGGTCACTAGAAGAAGCCAGCGGCCGGGGTTCTGAAACTTCAACTATATCAATTTGCTCTCGTAGTGGTGGTCGGGAATTAGTTTGCAGCCTTGCCTTGTTAAAGATGAAGACTTCGCTGTCACTAGAGGGAAGCTTATATGTAGAAAGTGGCCTTTGAGGCTCAAGTTTCAAGTCTGCACATAGAACAAGCTGGTCATTAAAAGGGATGCCAGAAACTGGTTCAATCGATTGCATAACTGCCTTGACCAATGTCGTTTCATCACAATCGAGCTCATAAGAATATCCATTTTCAGCTACATGAACCAAAAGCTTCCCTTCAGCAATCAAATTCTCTGTGATACTTGAACTCATCTTATCTTCAGCTCCCTAGAAACCACAATATAAATCCAAAATAAACCACTCAAAATTCAATCCTTTCGCCAATTAACCCACACCCAAATGGGGAAACTTACAAAAATCTCAGCCGTTACTAATAAAACACCTAATATTCACAAAATCCAGCTATATATCTGCAAAGGCTCCCCAGAAACATAAATCAAACCAGTAAAATTCAAAATTTAACCTTAAATCCTTCTCAAAACCCCTAAATCAAAACAGACCGACCATAAAATTTATCCACAAAAGCTGAATTTTCAACAGACCCACAAATTATAATGCCACCAAAACCCAATTCTCATCGACCCACTACCAAATACAATAAATTACAGCGGACCCAGAAAAAAACTCCACCCTGGAATCCTCAGATAATTCCCAAGTTTCTTTTTTTTTTTTTTTGTTCACAAACTCAAAAAAGAATTTAACCTCCCAAAAATTAACAAGGTTTCGAATAGGACAAGAAAAAAAGAATGGAAGCTAAGAAGAAACGAAAATCAAAAGCGATTACATGAAGAGAAGGAATCTGCAAGTTCTTTTTTAGGGTCGGAACAAGGTTTCTATGCACCGAAACCCTTTCCATATAAAATTTTTTATTATTATTTTTTAATATCTACGTCTTCTTCTTCGAGTTCTTTTTTAATGGAAAATCACAAAGAACCTTCTGCGGGAAGTAACCACGACGGTGTCAGCAGAAGAGCTCTCTGTTTCTCTCTGACTCTCTCTCTCTCTCTCTGCTATGTCTCTGCTCAGAAGAAATTATAAAGCTACTCAACTTTTATTTTAATTTAATTTATAGCTTTATTAATATGACTAATTCTTTCATTAATGGACTCAAACACTTTCATTTTACTTTTTTCAGTTTTGAAAATATCAAAATACCGACTTTCTGCTCCTTAATTTTTTGAAATTACATGTTCGTCCCTTGACGGCCTCAGGAGATGGAAAAGAGGTTAAAAAACTTGTTTTTAATTGCTAAAATTACAAAATTTGTCTTTCCTAACGTTGATTTTTTAATTAAATAATTTTTTATATTTTTATTGTATTCAAATAAAATTTTAATTTTTAGTTAATATCTAAATAAATTTTTAATTTAATATGTATTTAAATAAATTATTAACATGGATCAATTTTTTATTTAAAATAAAAACTTATATAAATACAAATTAGAAGATAAAAATTTATTTAGATATAAAAAAATATAATAATTTAAGTGTTTTTAAAAATATTTTAATCTTTTTTAATTGAGTTCTTTGGTTAAATTTTGGACAAAAGTTTATTTTAACCTTTAATTTTTAAAAACTTTCATTTTGATCTTGATTATCAAAATATTTTTTTGTTAATTTAATGTGAAATATTAATTGATGCCACATGAATTACACCTGAATCACACATGAAACCACCAAACAGTTAATATGTTAAAAAAAACGTTTTTAAATTTTTTTTTTTATTTTCTCTCATCTCTTTTTTTTTCCTCTCTTCCTCTCTCGTCTCTTCTTTTTCCACCGTCGTCAAAGGCCGTCGGCGAAGGTCGATTAGAATCAACGAGGGTTAATCTAGCCCACTTAACTACCACTTCTATATCCGTAAATCAGACGAGGTAACATGATTCTATTGGTTTACTTGTTACGTTAATTGAACCCTTAAGATATAACAGTTAATAAGATTTTGATTTAACGGTAGAGAAAAAATTTGAAGGCTAAAGTTTTAAATTCAAGTTTATGTGTAAGTTTGATTTAATTTTATATTAAATTTATTTAATTATATTATAATTTATTGATTATTTAATAATTTTTTACATATAAATGTAATATTATTTGATTATGATTGTAACTTATAATTATAATTAAAAAAAAACTATTAAGATATAATAATATTTATTTTAAAATTTAAACTCAAAATTTTAAAAATAAAAGTTGATATGTAATAGTTGAACTTATATAACATGATAATAATGGTGTTTGGCAGCAAGTAGCAATCTAGTTATTTTCCATCCCCATCAATGATATTACATTAATATCACTGTAGCTTTATAATCATTTTTCCTTATCATATTATTTGCATTTATTACTTTTTTTAAAAAAATAATCTGAATATAAATAAATTATTCAATTTTTTAAATTAAAAATATATATCGTATCTAATAATCTAATATAAATGATTATAAATCATATATTCAAGATGATCCAAATAAATAATCACTAATAAAACTAATCAAAAAAATAAATTTAATCTATTAAATTAATCACTTATTAATACATATTATTTTGGTAGAGTCACTGCTTCCTTATTACACGGTTCAAATAATGGACATTTTGTAGTATTTCATTATAGCCACAAAAGCAGCATGATATAGGTATCTTGTCTGTTTTCAACAGCTTTAATTATTACCATCTTCAACCACCGTTTCCTCTTCAGCTGCCCAATTGCAATTCTAACATATCATGGTTGCATGAGATAAGGCAATCATTTTCATAAATCATAGTATAACCTTTTGTCCTACAAAGATTGATTTAAATGGTAAGGTAATAAGTATTTTTTTTTCTTGACCAGGATACCATCCAAGCATTTCAAAAGTAAAATTTTAAATATACTAAATTAATATGAAAAGGTGTCTTTAAGAATTATTAGTGTGATATTATCTCATATTTAATAAATATTAAATTTTTTGTAATTTTATATTCAAGTTAAATTTATTCACTTACATTAAATTGATTTTAAGTTAAATATTTAATATGATATCAAAATCAAAAAAAAATTTTGTTGACCTTTCTAAATTTATCACATGATAAATTTTTTTTATCTCTGTTTATACGTGATAAAATTTGTTAATGTTATATTATCTCACATCTAATAAATATGTAATTTCATTTAATTTTATATTTTTGTAGTCTTATATTAAAATTAAACTCTTTTACTTATAACTAATTAATTTTAAATTAGATACTTAATAAGAATATACAAAAAAAAAAATTTGGACAAGTTTGAGATACTATTAATCATATTATAAAAAAATATAGTATATAATTTTTTGTAAAAATTTTACTAATAGCTTTTAAAAAATAGAGATGGAAAGAATTTGTTTCATATATATTATATATATAAATCATTTCATCTATTGGCTTTAGACTCTATAAATAAGATTAATAATATGTCATACATTCGATTTTCAAGTTTCAAATTATATACTTAAGTAGAAAAAATTATTTTTGAATTAATCTAATTTTACCATGGAATGGAACAAAAGTTTACAATGGCAAACTTGAAAAAAAAAAAAAAGAAATAGAAGGGACTAATTTGATGAAAATTGAAAAAAAAAAGAATGGAAACAAATAAACAAGTAATTAATAAATATTGCAATCTAATAGTTAAAATGCATTGAAGAAAAATAATTTAAATTCCAACTTAAAAGTAAATAGGACAAAATGATGCAAAAGGTCAGAGAATGAGATGATGACCAAATATTCAAGTTGTCTTCTGCCTCCTTTTGGGGCAGCCAACGAAGATGCCTAGGAAATTACTTTGTAACATCTTGTCGAGAGAACAAAGTAGACCCAGTCACCGATTTTGTGGCTGAAATGAAAAAAAAAAAATGGTGAGACATTAGCTAGCCTGTTAATTGGTTAACATTTGCTTCTTTATTTTTTTACATTAAAGGAGAAATAGAGCCAGAAAGTTTGAAGGCCACCGTTGAATTTAGCTGTTCCTTGGCAATTTCCTTAGCTAGCTGCTAGTGTCACGCTCTTAAAAAAAAGTTCATAAATTTTATATTATTTGTATATTAAAATTAATTTGAAGATATATAAATTTATATATTTTTTTTATAAAATTTTTTTTATGAGATAAAATTATAAAATTAAAAAGATAAAAATAAATAATATCTCATAAAAATATGAATTATGATAGTAAAACTAATCTAAGATGTCAAATAAATCTATATTCAGGTCTTGAAATAATACGAACCTGAAAGTTGAGTTTCAATTTGTAATAAATAATATCGGAATCAGCTCTAATGATACAAGTGAAGTGCCTCTAATGATACAAGTGAAGTGCCACCAAGATGGTAGATTTTCATTGAAGTGAAAGAAGATATCCAATCTTAAAAAAAAGCTATAAATTTACATCAATTGTGTATTAAAATTAATTTTTGAATATATGAGTTCACATCATATTTTTCTTATGAAATATTTTTTATAAGATAAAACTATAAAATTAAAGAAGTCAAACCGAATAATACCTTATAAAAATATAAAATCATAATAATTAAATTGATTTAAAAAATCAAATAAATTTATGCCTAAATTTTGAAATTACATTAATTCAAAAATTAAATCTTGACCCGTAACACAAAAAGTTTTTTTTTGTAAGAAAAAATTTGATAATAGATAAGTTATTCAGTCTTTTAAGTTAAGATAAAATATATCGTATCTGACAGTTTAAGATAAATAATTATAAATTATGTATTTGAGATAATTTCAATAAATAATCATTAACAGAATTTAAACTTAAAATTTTTTTGTAAAAAAAAATAATTTTAATCGATTAAATTAATTATTTGTTGGTAACATAAAAACCTAATTAGGTTGATTTGCAAAATGCTCTGCATGTGGATGAAAATGTTGAAAGCGACTTTTATTTAAAGTTTAAAATTAGTTCTCAAGCGAAAAACAAACTTTTAAATTAAATGCCTGTTAATGTTCCATTTACAGCCGTCGAAATTGAAAACGGAATTGATCTATAAACAGTAAAAACTTATTCAACTCATCTAAATTTAAATTGATTTAATAAAAAAAACCATCAATTCGAAGTTAAAACTATTCAAAATCTAAAATTATTTAAATTTAAACGATTTCAAAATAACCTAAAATAATGTTGTTTTGATATTAAAACTTAATAAATTAAATTTAAAATAATTCGAAATTGATGTATGAACTTGAATAATTTGAATACTAAAATAAAAAAATTTAAATTTAAAATAATTTAAATTTAGAATAATTTAAATTTAAATTTATCCAAAGTTTTTATATAAAATAATTGAATCCAAAATAACCAAATCTATATCCAGTCCACTAGATCTAAAAAAACAGTGAACTTTGATCATGCATGAGGATTACAACGAGTCAACGACAAAAACTTAAAAAGTGCGCATTTCCACCGGCTATGAGACACGTTGATGCTGATTCCACGGAGAAAGACGTTTTTTTTTTTAAAAAAAAATTTATTTTCACGGATAAAAATTAAGGTTTCGTTTGTTTTGAAAAAAATATTTTATTCTTATTTTTATTTTTTATGAAAATATATTTGATAAACAAAAATAAAAAACTTTTTTTTAAATGTAAAAATGAGAAAATAAATAAAATGTTCAATAATATTACTATTAAAATCATTTAATTATAAATATAATATATATTATTAATTAATGACATTAAAAGTGTTTCAATATAGTAACTTGCAAAACTTAAAAAAATATATATATCTTTTATTTTTACAATTGAAAATATCTTTTTTCTTGTTTTTATATTTCAATCTTTTTTTTGTTTTTTAAAATTTATTTTTATTTTCAATTATCAAACATGTTTCCACTCATATTTTTTATTTACTTAAAATGAAAACAAAAATGATTCTATTTTCTGAAATCAAATACTATCTAAATTTTTGAAAAATTTAAAATCCTATTTGTGTCACAGCATTTGGTATTTTGCTTTGTATCTCATATTCAAAAATTTGAGTTCCCATCTCTCTTTCTTTCAAATCACA